AATCTCATATTGACATCTATAAATTTATTCAGATGAGGAATGGACATTTTGGATATAATGTCCATTGGCCAATCTCAAAATACCTCTCATAGAACATTACTTCCTTAGTGGGTTTCAATTGTACCAATTGTTCTATAGTCCCTGAATCCAACAAAAAGAGATTAATGTAGGTGTGATCATAAGAAGGGTATTGTTTAATTCTCTTACGAATAAGTCTGAAAGAAGAAGGTAAGCCTGTTAAGTCAGCTGCGGCTGGATCATACATAAACCTCTCAACCATCAGCTTCATTATGGTACTACTCGTTCGTTTCTGTAATCCGATTCTACGTGATCACTCTGATGATCATTACCGATCGTGTACGGTGTGCTCTGTTTTATGTTTCTGGTTTGTCTCATTTATGCCTCTCTATATTAAATTAAAATCTCTTAATGATTAAGTATTGTTAATCGATCAATGTTGAGTCATGTGGGGTAATTTTTGTTTTTTTGAATAACTCGGTTAGTTTAAGATCTTGTGGTTAGTAGGTAGTTTAAAAAAGTTATATTATTGTGAATTATTAGCCAAGAGAACACTAAAAAATGATTTGTTGCTTGGCAAACAAGTTACCAAAGTCCAACATTGTACTAATTAATGTTTAGACCAAAGGAAAGACGTTGGAAATCATATGCTAGAGTAAGTCTTTGCAGAGTTCCTCAGTGATTTTGACAAAGTAATTTTCACGGTTCTTGACGAATTGCAGTGCAAATTGCTCGATCAAGATTCGCAAAAAAAACCCATCAATTGAATAATGGCTCGATGATTTTACCGGAATTGAGAAATACATGAATTAAGACCAAAGTAAAGTGAAAGAGAAACTATGAAAAAAGAACTCAAAACCCATCAATTGAACTGATTAGATAGAACATATAAAGTGAAGGAACATAGGAGAAAACCAAGTATTTATATTATTTAATTTTAAGCATATAATTTGCTCTTACTTGTTAGACTAGAGATAGTGTGACCAAGGAAATAGGTTTCCCTGAATCATAATGCTTAATTAATTAAGATGTAATACAGCATCAACTTAAGATTATTTATTATAGGTAATAATATTTGGATGCTGTGCAATCTTGATTGTAATCTTGACTACTCGATGGTGAAAGGGAGGTCATGCTCTTGCCATTTGCCATCGTCGTCCATATATACGTCTCATAGAACATTACTCTTCCTTAGTGGGTTTCACAACCAATGCTGTTGTACTGATTGTGCTAAAGAATTATCTGAGCGATGGATTTTTTGTGCCAATGTGGTTAAAGGCTTGTTCATGGACTAAGAAAAGTGTGTTTAGACCAAAGAGAAACTAGACCAATCTTAGTATAATCAAGGAAATGGACATACATGATTAATGAGTATTTTGTTGGAAGTACATAAATGTTTGTAAATTACGTAGTTCATGACAATAAGAAATACTTGATATATTACAATCTTATTTTTTTCTAGTATATCGATATATTCAACTCTTTAATTCTATAATGTTTTTACTTGGATTTTCGTCTCTAAACATACAACTGAATTTCACTTTGTCGATTTTCAATTCATCTTATCCATGCCCACTAGTAAAAT